GGGGGGGGGGGGTATTCCCAGTGTAAGTCGCAGACGATCTAGTTCCCGATGAATAGATATTCCGATCTCCGTTATAGAAAGAAAAATACAATCAGCAGACGGCCCATATTAGTAAATCCGTGCTTTACGTAAGTCCAGACTCCGACAAACAAATAGATGAAGAGTGGTGGAAACAGGTTGCTGCTTCACCGCAGGGTCTGTAAACGGAAGAGTTCCACAAAGCAAAATTGTGTGCTTAGCATTAACCTCGGGGTCGTATCCAGCTGTATGCTTGTGAAATCCCTCGCAGCACAGAGCTTGCTGCAATTGTGGAGTACGTGTTTCCGTTCCCCTGCCCTGCTCATACCATATATCCATTGGAACAGTGCATAAACACCTAGTTGAGAGACATTGCCATCGATCGCATCACGAGACAACCAGGGATTCAAGGCCACGACGGCTCACTATCTTCAAATCGAGTCCAGGCCCGGCGAAACCGGATCCGGGAGCCGTCTGCTCGATCTCCAGCTCGGGCAATCGCTCTTAGAGCTTCCGGAGTTTCCTTGATCTCAGAGGGACCTTGACCGGTGTCTAACAAACGACATGTGAACAAACGTTTCAAGATAGCTGCACACACTTCTATATCCAACCCCCAGCGTCATCCATGACGTAGTGTGTACGTCGCGCTACAAGTTTGACAAGTCGGAGTTGTGCATTTGGTGAGGTTGTTGAAAAGCACAGACGCCGTCACGCGCGAGAAAGCTAAGGCTACTCCTAAAATACAAGGACTTAGCCACCTTTCCCATGCGGCTAGAGTCGTTTCTCGTTTGGCGGCAAATGGCTTCAAGCGGATAAGTTCCCGCATCTTTTTTTTGCGTTACTGTGAACCAAAAGACCATGATAGTAGAGCTCGTGTCGGTGGCCTGCGGTCCTCTTTCAAAATACACAGTGGTAAGTCGTTGCAATCCAGGTCGCTATTATTAGCTTGAGCTCTTATATTTCGATCCGAAAGCAGTATTGTCCGCTAAACCCACCCAAGCATGGTACCACTTCAGTCGAACATACGACTGAAGCGTGGAAACAGAATCATCTCACTAAAGGTCTCTGTTGTATACACTATAATGTTCGTTTCGTAAGTCTTAACGTAGTGGATTTTTTGCGCACCATTACACATTAACTGCTGGAAATAAGAGATAACACTGTTATATTTCGTTCTTCAGTTTGTATTTCTTTCTTCATATACTACACCGCTTTTTTTCCTCTTTTTTTGAAAATGGCTTGTCGTGTATTATTAATAACAGCGTAACTACAATATTTGGCGGGGTATAAGTAACCCTCACACAACAGCGTTTTTACCTGCACCATTGGTGAGCTAAATACGAGCTCCTAGCGATTACATTAACGCTCGATCCCAGGTTTACCTAAGTTTCAGAATTTTGTCAACCCGGAGGCACGACTTTGTAGATAAATACTCGTAAGTGACAGAAAGTTAAACAGTGATCTATTTTTGTGGTTGCTTCGGAATCTTAAAAAAAATGTACTTTGGGTTGTTTTTAGGACAAATATGACCTTTTAGAACTCGTCCAGGACGTAGAATCATTACGGAATCTCCATTGAAGATCCTCGAGTTTACCCTGCTATAATCCATTTCGCATTTCAAGTCGCGGACTAGGTTATCCGTAGTGCGGTGAGATTAGTATCATAAGTATGCTTAAATCATTGTAGTTCTCGAAAAGTCCATCCGTCATTGTAGTCACATTCGCAGGGTAGTGTTTATTTAATGTTTTCAGATACTTGGCCCATAGCTCCAATTTTAAACTCGCGAGGATATGTTAGTCGACTTATTGGGAATTGACAATATCTTATATAACCAGACTGTGAAGCAAACGCTCCGCGTCCTGATTCTGGTTTATGTTTCGATCGTTCCCTCAATGCTTTGATAATGAATACGAAGCGGCTTAAACCACGACTCCTGCTTGTTGGGGCTCATTTTGTTGAAAGCACTTACATCATCCTTCCAGCTATTCCACACAAGGTTACTGAAAATAACATCACCCACAGTGTCAAGTCCTAGAAGCATGTTGAGAAAGAAGCTGAAATGCTGGCAGATCAGATCGTTGTGGAGACCGGACTGTGGTGACCCATGAAGGATGGTAGATGCTTGAAAAAATAAAGCTAACGTTTAATCAATTCAGTCTTCATTTTGTTCGTGGTGCTGAAATGCTGGAACAGATCCAAGTTTCAATGCCAACTTCGTAAACATGAACTAGGATGTCATCTTTTCCAAAGAGGCACGGAAAGGCGTTGACCGCATCATGAAGTGTAGTAAGTACACTGGCACATGAGAACCACAAGGATACACGATACATGCACCTGCGCTTTTTTTTTCGACATCCATGTCTCTGCTATAGTTTCCACGCTACAACTCTCAACCCTTGATTTCTACCGAAAGGCCTTTAATTCGTAATGCGTCGTCTTTCCTCGGTTGTCTGGCTGTACGGAGACCTCCAACCAACGAGTAGCTTCATCAACTACTGTAAGTGTATACTGACGTTCATTTCCGTAGTGTCCTATCGTGTCGACGTGCATAAATGTCGAGCGGATCGACTACATGCATGTCCCTCGGCGGCAGCTTGTCGAACGCTTGTAGCCCTCCTTGCAACTTTGCATTCTTACTTGTGATACACTTCTTGCAATATTCAACTGTCGTTTTCTCCATGGCCGACCAATAGAACTTCGTGCTGGATCAATCCACTCAGTTGCTTGCCGCTAGCATCGGCATAGATATCAAAGGGTTTCGAGAAGTCCGGAAATGATAATAGTATAGCTTCAGCAAGCGCTTTCTTTATACCCTCGAGTGCTTCATTCTCAGTCGAGGTCCACACGAACTTCGCTTTTAGGGATGTCATCTTTGTTAGTGGTCTTAGCATAATCCCCCTTGTAGTAATTGATTAGTCCTAGAAATCGTCTCAGTTAATGCTTCGTCTGTGGTGCCGTCAGCCGCGGGATCGCGCTGATCTTCTTCTCCTGCGGTTGCACACCACCCGCACTCAACTTAAAAACCAGGTACTCCACTGACTTACAGAAGATAAGGCATTTCTTGCCATTGAGTGTTACGTTGTACTCTTCCAGGCGTGTAGGCACCACCCGCAAATGCTTCACGTGCTCCTCAGCTGTCTTTGAGAAGGCTAACATGTCGTCCAGGTACACAATGACAAAGCCCAATCCACCGAGAATTTTCATCATACACAACTGGTACTCATCAGGCGCCGTAGAGATGCCCATTGGCAATCTCTTATACTGGAATTTTCCCCAGGACATATAGAACTCGGTGTACTTTCGGCTCTCCTTCCCGAGCTGCCTGGCGTAGTAGCCCATGTTCGCGTCCAATGACGAGAAGTACTTTGCTCCGCCCAACCTAGTGAGAACTTCAAATTAACGAGATATAGAATGGATGTCAATTCAGGAGCCGGTTAAGAATACGGAAGTCAATCAGTAAGCGCAGTCTACCATCCGTTTTTTTTGTTTTGTTTTCAAAAAGAACGCTGGTGACGCCATCTCGGAGTCCAAGACCTGCTCGAGCACATCAAGTGTAAGAAGCCTGCGTATTTCTTTCCGAGCTCCATCTTCTTTACTCCTTGGAACCGAGTAGGGTCGCGCGTGCACTGGTGTGAATGGTTCCACAATAGGCAAGACGTTGTGCGGCAACTTCATTTTACCCAAATGCCCATTATACAACATCTCAAAGTTCTTAAGCAGGTCTACCACTTTGTCGTACGTTATTTGTCAATCTCCGCATCACCAATCAACTCTGTTGGCTTGACCGAATTGTCGTTTATCTCCTTCACCTCAGCTGGTATTTCCACTTCCTTCAACTCCACGGGCAGGTTCTTCTTGGTTTCTTGTGCGGAGGCGTTGACGTGACGCCCGTATTTACCGAGACTGCGTTCCCGTTCCATTCTATCTGGTCGTCTCTGAAGTTCACAGTAATACCGAGTGCACTTAGCAAGTATCGACCTATGACCAGCTCGTCCTTAGTTTTGCTCGATCACTTCGAACTGATGCGTGATTCTGGAACCGTCGTCCAGGTATTAACAAGAATTCAGCTAGTTTGAGGTATTATTTCCATATAAATAATGCGCACCGTTTGCGAACTGATAGTAATTGCCGTTTGTCGCTGAAGTTTGAGTGACATGCATGTTTCTATAGACTTAATGCTTTGACAGCTAGTAGCACCTGCCAGCACTTAATTTTTTTATTTGGGACACCAAAGTACATCGATACTGACAAGGGTGTCGGCATATTGAAGCTGACCGCCAACGTAGCAGTTGAAGTAGCAGTTGGGGCAACATTTATTTCTATTCATTCTACGTTCTTGTCTCCCAGTCAGGGACAAGACACAAAACTAACTAACATAAATATCAGTCTTCTTTCTACCTTTCAAAGCCCCTCTGCGATCCAAGGGCATATCATTTTTGAGCTAGTTCAAAGTAATTAAAGGTGAAGGGCGATAGAAACTGGTGAAGACCGCGCAGAGAAGGGCGTGGTGGTTCCGGTGACAACACAAGAGCAGACTGCCGAGCGTGAGTACGTCAAGATAACGCTCCCTCGCTTCAGCGGAGGCACCGCTCAAGATTGACTAATGTGGAGCCATAAGTTTGTGTGTCTATGTCAGCTTAAGAAATTGACTTTCCGAAGAGAAGGATATGAACCTGCAGCTAGTGCTGGAGAATGAGGCACTGAAAGTGTGGCAGGCGGCATCAGATGACAACGCTATGACAAGTCCGACCCAGTTCACAAAGGCGTACGCGTGCTGGGGACGTACGTACGTTCCCAGGGCGTAGCGGGAGGAGGACTTTTTCTGTTCGCGAAGAGCCGCAGTGAAAATGTGTCCCAATGCCACCAGAGGATACGGGAGATCGCTCGAATGCTCCGAAACATGCCGACGAATCCATGCACTTAGGCGACAAGTCCATGATAAGATAATTTAAGCGTGTGATACCAAGAGAATAACGGCGTGCGTATAGTGGCATTATATTTAGCAGTACGCCACAGGCAGAGCAGTAATTTAAACGAGTTGGACAGTCTGAACTCCATGAAGGCAAGCAGAAGATGAGCAAACCGAACAAATCGGGTGATAATCAAAGTAGTAAGAGTGGGATCACAGCAAGTCGAGCAATAACGGCTCCACCAAGGCGTCGAGTAACAAACATGAAGATCACAGTGGCAAGTGATGCAAGATGCACAAGACCGCATCACACAGTGATCAAGGGTGTTTTACGCAGAAGAATAACTCCAAGGGCAACAACAATCAGAAGGCAACAGAAAAGAAGTCGAGGACCAGTAAGTTGACGCATGTGGACGACACAGAGACGATAGTGAAGGAAAAGTAATCACTAGCGCTCTCAAAGGATCTGCGGTTAGTACTGGAAGACCGATGCGACTGGTAATACGGCTATCACAAACCAAGGAGAAGCGCGTAGCTTTATTGGATAATGGATGTGCAACCAGTTATATTAATGCCAAGCTTGTGACGGCAAATCAGAAGCTGGGCTTCAAGAAGAACATCTCGTCCATGACCTTCGAGCAAGCTGACGGCAAGATCAACTCGAACGGAAACAAGATCGTGAAGTTTCGATTGCTGGCCCGTTATGTTACGAATACAAGTTAACCTAAACCTCAAAAAGAGCAATCAGCCTCAGTAACGTTTGAGCAATTGGATTTAGACCCCGCACCGATTTGCAACACCTGGATGAGAATTTGTTGATATGAATCTGACTCTGAGCGCCAGGAACTGCATGCGATCATATTAGATCCCACCCAACCGCCGCAAAACCTGCACTCATGACCGGAAGAGTATCCACGCTACGCAACCCCACCATCCTGCGTCCCGCCAAGACGAGACCAGCCCAGGCCAGCTTCCCATCAAGTCCAC